AATACCTAACAATAAACAGGGTTCAGTATAACAAACGCCTACCATAATATTTAACATATTATACATATTAATTTAAATAAAATGCTATTTGAAAACGTTTAGAAATTTCACTTTTTCATTTTATGAAGCAACGGCATGCAGGGATAAGCCCCTGTCTTGGGGGAAGATCTGACACCTGTTTCCAAGGCGGATCATTTTGTCCACGTTGCGGCAAGGTCTATCTGCGGCCATCAGGGTCCACGCAGCCCACCCAGCCAACAGCGGCCTCGGTGGGAGTGGACAGGACTTTTCCTGGGCAGAGCCAGGCCACATAGGCCCAAGGCTTCACTCACACCCATGGCTGGGGCCTTTGCATGCCAGGCCACTGCTGTCACGGGAATCAGTATCTTAAGCCCCAAACACAAATTGGGTCATATTAGTCCAGCTTTTTTTCACTCTTCCCTGTGTATTTTGTTATCTCTGTAACATACACCACAGTGTTCTGCCTTTTTAGTTTTAGTGTTCTAGCAAGAGCATACTGCCTACATCTAACACACACAATCATGAGGTCACACCCTTGGGAATAATAGCTACATTTGTGTTAAAAATTTTTGCCTCCCTCTTAATGATTCAAAATGAGTGTGGACTTAAGCTATATTAAAATATAGACTATATGAATAATATTTTAAAGGCTGGGAATATAGCCTAGTGGCAGAGCACTTGCCTAGCCGGAACAAGGCCTGGGATTTGAACCCTGGTACTGAAAAAATATATTTTTTTAAAATTATAGAGATCATTAATGGAGATGGAGACTCCTCAAAAAACTAAATATAGAAATTCTATTTAACCTAGCTGTTCTCCTAGTATCTTCCTGAAAGAGTTAAAGACATCATATTACAGTGACATATGCATACTCATGTTTACAGCAGCACAATTTATAACGGCTAAATCTTGGGGTGTCCACTTCTTGATGAAGAAAATATGATATTTACACACAATGGAGTTCTACTCTGCCATAAAGAAGGATAAACTTGAGTCATTTGTCAGAAAACAGATGCACCTTGAGACCATAATGCTAAATGCAATAAATCAGACACACAGGCTTCATGATACACAATGTAATAGCTATTGTTATATTCTTATTATTTGGTTATGAAAATTTGACTTAGTTTTCTCATAAAATAAAAAAATGATCACACTATAGAATCAAGGAGAATGTCTTCAGCATAATTTTTAAATTAAAAATAACCCAAAATATAAAGAAAAAGCAAAAAAGGTAGATCATGGGAAATAGGAAGATAGACCTTTTACAAAACAGAAGTGGACCAAGACATGGAGGGAGGAGGCAGGGAGGGGAGGGAAAGGGCATGAAAAAAGGAATGAAGATGTGTAATGTACATGTACCAGCTCCTCACATGGAGTGTAACCATGATGTACTGCAAATATGTACTATTTAAAAAATAAAAATTGAAAAAATATATTTTAAGATATTTTAAGGTCTTCCTAAAAATACACTATTGCCCAAAATAAAATAAATGAGAGACCCTGCTTACATGACAGACTTCAGAAGGACAGGACATTTCCCATTTTCTCATAAATAATTTTTTGACTAGGCAGGGCCTCATCTCGTGTTTGAGAATACATATGTAAGATCTTGAGAAATAGATTTCTGCCATCCTGTAAGTTAATGTTCTGCAGATATTCACTATCCATGCTTAGCAACAAAAAGATCAATCACTTCTGATATACCTTATAAATGATGTTTGCACCACTATTACTAATCTTTTATGTATATTACACAAAAGCAGACATTTTTAAAAGTTTGTAAAGATAAAGAAGAGATACCAAGGACTGTTGTTTTAAAAATATTTTAAAATTTTATTCCCAGCATTAAGCAGAGGACCCAGGTACTTCCAGGAAGATGTATAGGACAGGTGGCAACAAAATTGAGACTTACAGGGCAGGCAAGAGCAGAACATGGTGGGTGGCATGGCACTGGAAGGGCCTGCCGAGTGGCGGGCACAGTGTAGCAGCAGCAGCCCAGAAGTGCGGACTTGTAGGAGAGGAATGAAGGTACAAGATATGGAAGAGAAGATGGAAAGGACAGGTTCTCCTGGATGGAGTAGGGCTTTTCAATGCTTGAGGACCATGGCAGGCTATGGAGCCAGGAATGACCAAGCACCAGGGAAGCTACATTGTACTAGAAGCTTACCCAGTTGGCCATGTGGACAATGAGATGCAATTACAAACTCAAAGCATTCACAGAGCTGAGAAAAATCACCGTGGAACGGGGTATGTAGGAGTCCTGCCCAAAGGCACAGAAATTAAACTGCTGAAAGATGTCTTACTGGCCAAACAAAATACGTCTGCTAGGCAGTCAGCCTCACACTGCCATTGAACCCACTTTGGGAAGCAAGACCACTGTTCAGAGGTCTGCTGTGACAGTAGCCAGGCCTCAACTAGGCTGAAAGTGGGAAAGGAAGAATGGGTAAGTTCAAGGCGACTTGTAGAAATCTACAGATTTGGCAACCTTGTGAATGGGGACTACAGGAGGAAGTCAAAGTGAGACTAATTTTGCTTCTGGGTTACTGTCAAGATGACAATGCCATTAAAATTAGCAATAGAGAGCATAGGACAGGATTGGAGGGATATAACTTGAGTTTTTAATATGCTGCATTTGAGGAAATAGGAAGAGATTTGGGTAGGCTCACTAAACATCTGGAAATGTAGAAATGCAGTTTAATGAAGAACTCAGACTAGAAATCCAGATTTGGGTTAGAAACTTGGGCACATCTGCCCATTTCACTTGATGCTGCATAGGGGCAGGAAGCATCCTGTTTAGATAAATGACTATCATGGAGTAGACACTATTAATGTGCGTGATGCATCATGTTTGCTGTTTACCTACAGTGCATCAGCCAGAATGCCAGGCTCATCCCTGCACTCGGGTAGGAAAGGAGATCACAGAAGAAACTAGCCAGGGGACCAGGAAAACCATAAGGTACAGACTGGAGGAGGCACACACAAGGCTCTGTGGTGCTAATGCTGCAGAAGGGTGCGAGAGAGAGAGAGAGAGAGAGAGAGAGAGAGAGAGAGAGAGAGAGAG